GGGAGGAGGGGGGAGGGAGGAGGGAGGAGGGAGGAGGGAGGAGGGAGGAGGGAGGAGGGAGGAGGGAGGAGGGAGGAGGGAGGAGGGAGGAGGGAGGAGGGAGGAGAAGGGGCAGGAAGGAATGGTGGAAGAAAACATGAGAAGGGCATGATAGCTTGTTCATGAAATGTGCAAGGAAACTTGACTATTTGACATGTTTCCATTTTAATTTCAAAGTACAAAGTTTCGATCCACTGTTTCTTTGCCTCGCCCTTTGACACAAGACCATAGTTCAGCACGACTTCATTTGAAATGAAAGAAATCTTATTGCCTGCTCAGGTGAGAAGTCACATTACAGTTCTCCACCTGCCAGGAATCATTTGTCTGGTTGTGCTTATTCTGGTGTCCTTGTGAAGATCAGGCATAGATACACAATGATTCAACGCTGTTGAATGGTACGCTGCTGATGGTAGCGAAAGGAACGGGAGCGGTTCAGTCTCGGAGGAGGAAAAGACTGAAATCAAAGGGCTCGCGCCAAAGAAGTTTTCGAATGATTCCAGAGGTGTTGGAGAAGGCATCTTGGCAACGAAGAGGTGTGGTTGTGATGGCAGATAACAAGATTCGGAGGACAGAATGCAAATAGGAAGCGAAGAAGATTTGTGAGACAACAAAAATAAAATCAGGAAGAAGAATAGAGTGGCTGTAGGGAACAGGAGCAGGTCAAGCTGCAGGTCAAGCAAGGTTGAGAGCAGGGGGAGGGGGATGGTATGGGTCGCAAAAGTCTCAAATCCAAGGAAAGAGTTCTTCGAAAAAGAGTGGTATCGAGCAAAGGGGTTACACACACGGAGGAAACAATTTTCAAAAGGAGTTTTTTCAATGTACCGTAGAAACGCGATATGGTCAGCAAGCCATGATCGAAACATGGCTGGCGTAGAAACGTGCAGAGCGGAGTTTATCTAAATCTTTGACGATCACAAGCAAAGAAATGTCACGCCAGAGCAGATCGTGACTATGGGGACAAAGCGACCCGCAACGCTTTCACTGCTGAGCAGTTAGTTCACACTGGAAGAAGCAACCTGTTACCTGAACAGGAGAACTCCCAACAAGGATGAGAGGAGGATGCCTCCGCCTGCAACCTCATCACTTCCAGCACGCTCCCTTTCTCGCCATCACCTCGCTTGATTGCTGTGACATAAACAGGAGAGATCCAGGCAAAAGCTTGATAACTGTTGCACGTGTCACTGCCAGCCACACGCAAGGAGAAGTGTACAGCGAAAGCATGTAAATGGCATCTGAAAGGCAGATCGCGAAAATGAGCAGCAGCACTGGAGGTGCCATGAACTGGTAGCTCAGTCAGCTTACAGTTGAGACTAAACCGGAAGAACCTTCTTCAGTTCACGAAATGTAAGGCCTCCAGACATGAACGAGCCACCTAGAGTAGTACTGACCATGCCGTCAAGCGCAATATTAGCTGCATAGCACGAAAGCTACCTCGCCATTAGCAATCTTCCATATGCATAGTACAACGTCTTTCCTGCCGATTTGATTGCAACCTTGCGAAAAGGATTCAGAGATTACAACAGGTTGCGCGGGAAACTTGGAGTTAGCTCAACGAAGCGATTATGGAAGACCTTGTCAAGTCTAGATGTAAAGCCATAGATGACACAGTTGATGAGGATAAACCATGAGCCCAGGGGAAGCGGTCCCAGCATCTTGGCCTGCAAATGTTTTCATCCATCCAATATTCATTCTCATTGATTGCAAACCTCCTTGACGTTTCCACTTGATCCTTTCGGTGCAATCCCTTTTCCAAGCAAGAAGGCACCATATGCAATGCACCTTTCACACAGATTATCCCCAAGGTTTCATTGTGAATTGTTTGAGATAATCACCCAACAGATAGGATGTGATACGGAGGATATGACGTTTTTGCTTCGTCGCATCCAAATTCAATCATTCTATGCCATCCTGAGGTCAGCAGAAACACAAGACCACTCCTGACATTACTTGCATGCAAGCGGCATCACGGCTACTCCGACCAGGAATTGCATAACAGGATCAAAAGCCTGACAGAACCTCAGATCCATTTCCCCGCAAATGTGTTCACACCAGAAACGGTGCACAAAGGGAAATGTCAGACTCCGCAAAGGCCTGCACAACTTTTATATTACGAAAATGCAAAAGTGAGGCTCTTACTTTGGTCTCAAGAGTTTTGACAATAGAATTTAAAACGGATGCACTGACAGCAGCAATCCAGAACGCTCTTGGGATTGAAGCGCGTCAACTCAACACAACATGAAAGAAGACTTGTTGGACCTTGGGGGCAGTGCATCTGTCATCTCTTGCACGGAACCGAACTTCAAATCTCCGGACTGCAAAAGCGTCAGACTAAACGAAACATCTCGTAGCAAGCAACATTGAAACAATAGATTATTGAAACGATTCCTTGAAGCAAAGTTGCAATGCCAACCTATCGCATGGATATGAGTTCAGGTATCAAAAATAAAGCAGGCCATACTTGCTGTGCACTGCCGATGTTATGCTGGGACAGAATTTTGCGGAATGCACCCACGGCAGCATTTCCTAAGAGACGAGTCATGAAACAAGAGGTCTTCAAGAGCCTTACCAATAAGAGCGACCCCGGCCAGTGCCAGACCCATAGCGTAGTTTTGGTCCTTAACTGAAGAAGTAGTCTTCGTCGATGCACCACTGGAAAGCCTTACCTGGATTGTTGATCAACGATCATCAAGGAATTAAATAGAAATTACTTGATAGAACGACGCAGCAGTCACAGCTACAAGTGCAAAAGAAATCTGATTGGAAATCGAACTAAAAAGTCCTGACTTTGGAGGCGATTTGCTGCAAGATCTTTAAGAATTTGAGCGACAAGTTGTTAGGGTTGCTCACAGCTCAGATTCAGAGGACATTTTTGAGTGCAGTTCGTTCTCCTGAGAAATATCAATAACAACAACATCGGTCAAACATCATTCTTACAGAGCTCTTCACGTCCCAGGTCTCACTTGTTGCTGATTTGACGTAAGATACAGAACATTTCGCGCTCAAGCACACACCTACTGTATCGAAGCCTTGATTCACTGCAATTGCCTGTCGAAACGCTTATTACGACAGAAAATCAATGTCTTCAAAACCTCAGCAAATTCAACCGACAGCTGGCGCAGAGGTTTGAAAGACTGTGACCCTTTCCTGCAGCGTGACGCACTTTTTAATGCAGGATTCCGGGTTCTCATCCTTTACGCAACCTGCTTGGAACTTTCGTATTGTCGATACGAATGTCCGCAGCGCCTGTTTCATTATGCTTGTTAGTCGGATCTGCGACTGTCGACACAAATGGAACCGATGTTAGATGGCAGAGCAAGACAGCACCAAATCTTGTTGAAGAAAACTGAGGATTACATCGAGAGCAGCACATTCGAAAAAACCTGAGTTGCCAGGAAAATAAACAACACAGGCGAGACGCACGTCTTGAAAGTCCATGTCAGCTCCCGCAAGGGCGGCGCATTCGCTTCACCTTAGCTATTGCAAGTGATCTCACTGCCATGAATCGACCCCTCAGGGTGTAGCAAGGCAAAATCGTTCTCTGGTGGCTGCATCGATATGGCGTCAGCTACCGGCACACTGGCTGGATTCAAGAGCACAAGGATTCTCTGTCGTCAAAATCTACCAATGCTGGACGTATCTCGATGAATGTTTTACACGCTTCTTATTCTACAGTCTGAGTGTTGATCAGCTGCATCAAGACGGGCTTCTGAGCAGCTCATCCTGTCTTGATCCAGCCCCCTTTCCTCCTTGCGTCTCTTCCTTTCCTCTCATTGCGGCCCCTCTCGTCAACAAGCGAGAGGACAGCGACATTTTTACTCAAAATTGCAGCAGTGGCGACCGGGCACCCGGCTATTCCTTTACTCAAAGTTAAGTTAAAAATTAGTACGAGGACAATGAGTAAAATTTTGAGTCATACCACCGATGATGGAGTTGACCTTTTTTTTCGTTTTTGCTAAATCGATAGAAGGAAGCTAAATCGGTGGGACATGCTGGCATGAGGGAAGCAAACGGGCGTAGCAGCTGCTCTCTCGGACGCCTGGCGTTGGTCTCAATCTCTCCTGATCCTTGCTGACCGTCAGAACAGCTTGCTTCCTCGCCATGGTGAAGACTGCTTTCCAGAATTGGATCCAGGGGCCGCATGACCCTGAGAAACGAACGTTCATTAGCAGCCTCTTTCTGCGATTGATCGAATCAAGAGCATGGGAATATCTCTTCCTGTGCATCATTGTTTTCACCGCTACAATCAAATTCACAGACCTGCGAGACTCTCCCCCGGAGTGGAAAGCTAGTCTTCTTCAGATATCTCTGGTACAAAGTTTCCATGTGTGAATTAGCTGGTAACGCTGTTTATGCGCAGTATGGTTGTTTGACCTACAGCATTGAATGGATCATAGAACTACTCACTCTGGGATCTTCGGAGTTTTTTAGCAGCGGCTGGTATCGAACGGACACCATTGTCAATGTGTTCAACTGGGGAAGCTATCTGGACTCAAACGGATATCTTCCGAGGATTCTCAGTCTGATTTTCCCGAATATCGCCTTCTTAAGGATCCTGCGCTTTCTGAAGCCTCTAGGACGAGTGAGACTGCTCTTTTCTTCCAAAGTTGTGGTCAAGACGGTTGCTGGAGCCATGGCGTCAATGGGCCCTGTGCTTGCCTTGGTGTTCTTTCTTGTGCTTTTATTCGGAGTCGGAGGGATCTATTTGTTCGGAAAGGGTTTAGCCTTGTACTATAGGTGTGGGCTTCCTCTGACAGCCGATCAATCCAAGTTCTTCTTCAATGAAAGCTCCTACCAGCCAGCCCCTGGATCTGATATCAACATCGCAAGCTGCGGGGTGAACCTAACACGCATTGACGAGTTTCAATCACAGTACAACGCATACTTGCGAGAGGCGTCAAGCACAGGTCAATCATTTGAGTTTGCAGACTTTGACCTAGACGGAGCCGATGAGAGATACTGCATAGCCTTGACCCCTGAACGTCTTTGCGCTTGTGCCTCCCTCCCCAACGGTGAGAGTCCAGACGTTTGTGTGGACACGGCGAACTGCCGAGAGAATATTTGCTTTCGAGGAGATATCATTCCGGTCGATTCCTTGCATGGGTTCAACAATTTTGCAACTGCATCAATGACTGTGATAGCTGTCTTCTTTCAGAAGAATTGGTCCATGTTCATGGATGCCTGTGTCCAGACTTCGGGCCCTTTCTTCGGATATTTCTATTACATCTTTCTGGTTATCTTTGGAAGCTTTTGTCTCCTCAACCTCACTGTTGCAACTGTTGGGCAAACGTTTACAAGAGTGAAAAAGGAAGCTGAGAAGAAAAGAGCAGATAAAGATGCCGAGCAAGCACGAAAAGACAAGATTCAAGTATTTTCAGATGTTTGAAATTCTTGTTATACCGATGATCTAATCTGTTGATCTTTAGGCTGAAAGAGATGAAATGAAGAAAATGGCCAAGGCAAAAAGTGATGAAGAGGGCGGCGAGGAGGGGTCCGAGGTTTGACCATATCACCTACCCTGCATCGTTTGTTTAACTCTTGCCAGGATGTGACATTGCAGTTCGACGAGAACACATTGTTTTATTGTTGGTTATTGGGACTTGTTGGACTCCCATTCATCCACCGCATCTACTTAAAGACATGGAAAGAGGGAAGGTGGTTTGTTCTCCGTATTGCTTCGTTCAACTTTCTTTTCTTGGGATGGGTCTCGGATTATTTTCTCCTCGAAAAATTGAATCAGCTCGCCTCTGTTGCCGAGATTGAATATATTGAAGAGAAAAAGATGAAGACTATTGAACATCTCGAAACCGAGAGAGGCAGAATCTGTGAGCTTGTTATATTTCTTTCGTTCTTCTTATCAATTCTTGATCTAACTTGCTTCTGCAGTGTCGTCCTTTACGGGAGGATGGAGATTGAAGCTCGCGATGGTTCTCTCATATCCCCTCAAGCGTCTTCCCCACCACACATCCCTGCAGTACTTGGACTCTCGTCTGAAAGCATTGAGGCAAACAAACGAGGAGGAAAACGTGTCAGAGGGAGAGGAAAGCTCGGAAGTTTCCGATGACGAGACAACTTCTGAAGCTGAGAGCGGCAAGGCAGCCACTGCAGCACAGGAGGGACAGAGCATTTTTGCCTGGATTGCCGATCTTGTTGTAGTGATCAATGCTGGCTCGATGGCTATGAGTGGCTTCAACGATAAATTGAACCCTATTCTGAACGGCGTGGGTTATTTTGCTTCTTTGTTCTTCATTGCTGAAGCCGTCGCCAAATCTATCTCATACGGGGGATGGAGGTAGAGAGTGAATTGTGTTCCTCATCCGCCTGCTCCTACAGCTGACATCGCTGGCAGCTACTACCTCCTGGATGGCGGAAATCGTTTTGACTTCACCCTTGTCTTGGTCCCGACGATCGGCGAAGTGACAACGGAGGGGTCGAGCTTTCTGGGGCTGGGGGCAGACTACATCTACCAGGCTCTCGCCCTCCAGGCCATGCGCGTCTTCCGAATCGCGAAGCTGACAAAGCACCTCACCGGGCTCAGGCGACTAACTGCCCGCGCGTTTGGCAGCCCCGCAGGAGTTGTGTACGCGCTACTTGTAACCATAGGGTTCATCTGCTTCTGCTCCTGTTTCGGCAACGAGCTCTTTCGCTCCAGTGTGGTGAAACCCATCCTTTGACTCGAGCTTCTTTGACGCCCAGCAGGAATTTGCGGTGGCTCGGAATGACTTCCAGTACTTCCTTGGAGCGATGAAGTGCTTGCTAGAGTTCCTCCTGGGCGATCGCTACATGCAGTCCCTTGACATCGCCTACCAGTCGAAGGATGTCATCGGTAAGGAGAACAAGAAGTTGAGGGGGGGGCTCGTGACGTAATGACAGGGGTTCTCTTCTTCCTTGGTTACTACTACGTCGCAAACTTTCTTGTGCTTCGTATGTAAGTAGCTTGACCCTTACGACGCGTGGAACTTGATGATAACGAAATGACAAGTTACCGTTCAGGTTCATAGCTCTTATCCTTGAAAACTTTGAGTTCGACGAAGATAAGAAGATCAGCATTCAGATTCAGCTGTTTCAGAAGCAACAAATCCTCATGAACGACCTCATCGACGGCAGGTTACTTCTGGCCTTCCTTGCTCCTTGTCTCCATCTCTCATCGCCTCCTGCTCCTTGGCTCACCTTCCCCGCAGTGCGAGAGGCTTCAGCATCCAAGAGCAGTTTGCTCGCCTTCGCAAGCAGAATTTGGACGAGGATCATCTGAGTGTGTTCCAGCAGAAATGGTCCCAGGTGGTGAAGGACAGGGGTGAGTGAACACGCTGCTGCCTCTTTCCCCTCTACCTCTATGTTTATTTCCGTCTCTCTTGCGCCTTATCAGCCAATCATCTTCTGCTGATTTTCTAGTTCCTCTGTATCGTGCCATTCATACACACACTCATCGTCTGAATATCGCCTTGATCTCAATCGTTGCCATCGCAGCCACCAACATGCAAAGGGCTGTTTTGCATTGACGATAATTGCTTATCCGCTGATGTTTGTGCTTATTCGCTGATGTTTGTGCTTATCCGCTGAAGATTGTGCTGCCTTGCAAAGTGACAGCGTCCTCGTGCAGCTGCAGAAGTGAGCAAGGACGACGCGGGAGGAGGAGAAGAGAGTTACTTGTGGAACATTCTCATCAGTGCAAATGAAAGAAAGGAGCAGGGGTTGAGAAAGGAGAAGACAGAATCAGAGGGACTGATCAAGATTCTGATCAAGTTGATTATGGTGATCCTTCATCTCTTTGCCGATGAAGCTGACTTCGCAATTTCTTCTCTTTATACCATCTTGAACCAACCCCCGTCCTCGTTCATGTCCTCGTCCTTGTTCTTGTTCTCATCTTCATGTTCCTCCTCCTCTTGTTGTCTCTTTCTCTTCGTGTCCAGATGGCACGCAAGCTCTCCTACACTTTGGTCGAGAACCAGAAGTTTGACCTTCTTGTTCTCTTCGCCGTCATCTTCTCGGTGGTGTTGGTGCAGGTGGACACGAGCGACAACCCGATCTTCACAGACGAGGTTCGACTGACGATCGACATCAGCCTGCTCTGCTTCTTCACCTTTGAGACCAGCCTCAAGATCTTCACCTATGGCTTTCTCACTCCTACAGGAGTCTCCCCGAAGAGCATCGAGTACCCGCAGGGCAAGCCCGCCTTCTTCTCCAACACGGAGGACGGAGGATGGAACCTTCTCGACGCCGGGGTCGTCATCCTCATGATACTCGACGTGCTCCCCCTCAGCTTCAGCGTCGGAGGCTTCAAGTGCATCCGAATCGTCAGGATCGTCCGGCCGCTGCAAAAGCGAAGTCAGACAGTGAAGGGGCTCATGGCGGCGCTGATCGCGAGCATCGGGTCGATCTTCCACGTTATCAACCTTCTTCTTCTCCTCATACTCATCTTCGGCCTCATGGGCGTCTCGCTCTTCCGCGGCAGGCTCAACGTCTGCAACGATGAGGCCGTCTCCCACTCTCGCGACTGCATCGGCGTCAACTACGGCGGCATTCCTGATGTCCCTTGCCGCGGGTATGTCGATCGGATCTGCCAGCAGGAGCTGGGCAGGTTCATCGGTCAACAAGTTCTTGTCCCCCGTGTCTGGTCCCCCCCCTCTGAGAACTTCGACAACCTGGCGGTCGCCAGCATCACTCTCCTCCGCCTCTCTGCGCAGGACAACCTGCGGTCCATCTTTCACAGCCTCATGGACATGGCGCGCTACTACCAGGTTGTGTGCAGCGGGGACGGGGAGGACGGAGAGAACGGTTGTCCAGCAGGACAGAACCAGTACATCGTCGCATCTCAGTCGCAAGCAGACACAGCGCCGGAGAACATCCTCTTCCCCCTGTGAGCTGCCTTCCCTGCTGTTGTCCAGCTGACTGACATGCCTTCAGGTTCTACATCTTCATCGCCAACATCTTCATCAGTCAGCTCGTGATCGGCGTGCTTATTGACAACATCAGGAGGCAGACTGGCTCCGCCCTCTTCACTGAGCAGCAGCGCATCTGGCGAGCGACGCTCATCACTATGGATCGGCTCAAGAAGAAGTTCAAACCTCAGATCCCCGAGCAGCCGCTGCGCAAGTGGCTCTACCTGGTGCTAGAGTCGGAGACCTACAACATCTTCATCATGTCCGTCATCATCCTCAATACCCTCTGGATGGCCACAGAGCATGAACGTGAGCCTTGAAGGCCCTGCAGCTCTGCTCCAGCTGACCCTCCTTTGATTTCAGCTCATCCAGCTTTGTACAGCACGATTCAGAACTATGTCGATCCTGTTTTCATCGTCATCTACGTCGGTACGGCAAGAGCTTTGTGGCTTCTTGTTGCGCTTCATCTCGCTTCTGCCTTCAAATGCGCTCTGTTCTTTTTCCTCTCCTTACTGGTCAAACTCCCTTGCCTTTTGCCCTTATCCTTGTCTTTATCTTTGTTGTCTTTTCCATTGCATATTCTTTTTCGATCAACATTTCGTCTTCTTTCTCACGCATGCTGACAGGGGAGACGATAGCGAAGATGACGGCATATGGTCTGATCTCTTGGTCGGAAGAATCCCCTGCGGAGGAGCAGGAGGAAGAAAAAGAGCCCACCTCCTCCTCTTCTTTCTTCTCCTGTTTCAAGAGATACAAGAGCCCTTACTTCGGAGATGTACGCACAACTTTCTTCCTCCTTTACCTGTGGATGTTGTCATTCTCCTGTCTTCATTGTCATTTCGTTGCTCCCACTTCTCTAATTTCCTTTTGTATTTCTGTTTCTACTTCTATTCCTATCTCCATTTCTACATCTACATCTACTTCTACTTCTACTGCAACTTCTACTTCTACTTCTACTTCTACTTCTACTTCTACTTCTACTTCTACTTCTACTTCTACTTCTCACTTCCTCATCGAGTTCACCTGACCTTTTCCTTATTGCAGGCCTGGAATTTCTTTGATTTTTTCGTGGTTGCTATGAGCGTGTTAGATTCTTCGGGCATCATCAGTGGTCTTAGCTTCCTCAAGCTCCTCCGAGTTCTCCGCGTCTTCCGTCTCGTTCGCCGCGTGAAAACTCTCCAGGTAGATGAGACCTGTACACCCTTTTCCTCGCCTCCTCTCCTCCTTTCCTCCTCTCTTCTCCCAATCTGTCCTTCACTTCCTCTCCCTTGTATCTTCTGCTCTGCTCTGCTCTGCTTCCCTTCTCTCTATGTCTCGCCTTCTGAGCAAGAGGCAGGTGATGATCACGACGCTGCTGGGAGCGATCAACGCAATCCTCGCAGCTCTTCTGTTTCTCAGCATCTGGATCTTTATCTTTGCGGCGGTGGGGTCAGACAATCAGATGTTCAATGACCTCCGGCATGGCCTCGTCATCGACTCTCGCTGGAACTTCCACACTCTCTTCAACGCCGTCCTCCTCCTCTTCCGCACGGCGACTGGGGACGGATGGTTCGACCTCCTTTATGATGCTTCTGTCCGCCCGCCCTACTGCACGGCCTCGTCGCCGGAAGTGCCGGTGGGAGACTGCGGGCGAGGGATCATAGGGTACATCTACTTCATCATCTTCTACTTCGGATGCAACTATATCTTCCTGCCTCTCTTCGTCGCCACTCTCATTGACTACTTCTTCGAGGTGAACGTGTGGAAAGGGAGAGGGGAAGAGGAGGGAAGGGAGGGGAGGGTGAGGGGAGGGAGGGGGGAGGAGAGTTGAAGTGCTGAAGGCTGGCGGCAGGCGGAGGTTGAGAGTCAGTCGCTGTTCAACGGGGATGACTGCGAGACATACGCCAACGTCTGGTCGGAGTTTGACGAGGAGGGTGACGGAAGAATTTCAATCGAGAACCTCCGACCCCTCGTCGACAGACTCGGTAAGATCCAATTTATCTTCTTTTTATTCAACCAGCCAAAGAACATTTCAAGTTTAGTTGCCTCGGTTTCAACGATTAGACAGATTTTGAAAAAGATAGTGGAGTTCAGGATCTTAGCTGGAAAGATATTCCAAGTTGAGTGGGGAGCAATGAAATTATGGGGAGAAACTTCAAATTCTGAGCTGACTTTCCAACGTGTTTGACAGCTGTCAATGGGCATCCAGCAGGCTTCAGAGTCTCGTCGGACCTCGAGCGGTTCAAGATGATCTGGTCAAGGGTCATGACCGACCCCAGCACGTTCCCACTTGACGGGCTGCGGGTGCCTGATGAAGTCAGCAAGGAGATCGGGCTGACAGTCATCACTAGGTAACCTTGAGCTGCCTTCCTCTCATGCTGCCGTCCCCTGCCCTCCTCAGGCTCTTTCCATCACTTCTTCGATGCTTCCTCAGGATCCTTCCTCTTGCTTTCCTCTGCCGAACGTTTGTGTCCCCGTGCATGCTCCGTTGTCTTTGGCGTGTCTCCCCGTCCCTTGTCCTCGTCTGACATCTCATCTCAGAGACAACATGGTCAAAGCGTTCGGGAGCGGGAAGAGAGCTCTACGGATCCGCGAGTTTCTTTACAGCAAATTCCCGGAGATCAAGAACAACGAGGTTGAATTCAAGTATGCCGCTAAGGTGAGAGGAAGAAGAAGGGAACGGAAAGATATGATGAAGGAGATGTAGATAAACGGGAGAGCAGAGCAGAGCAGAGCAGAGCAGAGCAGAGCAGAGCAGAGCAGAGCAGAGCAGAGCAGAGCAAATGATTCTGAGCACAGGTTCTCTGCATCTTCATGGACGGCATTCGCGCGCCCATCACGATTGCAGATCTTGTAAACCAGGGAGCGTCCAAGCAAATTCTAGTGGCGCTGCAAGGAGACGCAGTGATACGGGGAAGAGATGGGAAGGAGAACGATCGTTGGCTGCCGCTCGGAGTTCACAATCAGCTGACGAACAAGCTGGCGGATGGGGTGCCTAAGGGATCGAAGAAGAAGAAGATGCCTGGGAAGGAGGAGCTGCCAAACATCATGAAGGCAGTGAAACTGGTTCTCTTCATTTCCTTCTCCTCTCCTCCATCCCCTCCTGTCATCGTCTCTGTATACTTCATGTTCCTTTCCACTGCTGATGATCTTCCTCTATTTGTTTCCTCTTCCTCTTCCTCCTCCTCCTCCTTATGTGACGTTTTGTTGCAATCAGGTACAACTTGAGCTCAGGCCTCCAGTGCTGGACCCGGACGAGCCTCCTCCGATGCCAACAGCGCAGAAGGTCGGGGAGCTGATGGGAAAGATCCGCTTCATGAAGGATTCTTACGAGGATGTGCGTCCTGCTTCTCTTCCTTGCCTGCCCCTGACACTCTCGCTAGATTGTCGACCGGCTGATCGATGAGGTTCTCTGGGGGAAAGAGGAGGAGGAGGAGGCGCAGGAGTCTGTCATCAGCATCCTCCTTGGCGAGATCATGGTGCTGTCTGTTCATCAGTTTGCGCAGGAAACATCATCCAAGGTGAGTCGCCTGCTCGACTTGTACCTGAGTGTCTAATCCTTGCCAAGATCTGGACGCAGATAAAGCCAAGGGAGACCAACAAGGCTCTCTTTCGCTTCACACAGGCAGCGAGTGAGTCTCCTCCCTCCTCCTTGCTCTCCCCATCCCTGACCTCTCCTCAGAGTCGAAGATGCAACAAGGCATCGCGGCCGCAGTCAAGTCTGTGCCCCGCGGCTGGCTCAATGCGAAGAGGTCGCGGCCGGCGCTGAGGAGGATGAAGCCCACGGAGGAGACGAGGGACCACACGCAAGAAACCGTCCTCTCCCTTGCCCTCAAGGCCCCCGCCGCTCCTGCTCGCCCTGCTCGCTCCTCCAGCCGGTACAAAGTCTCACCTCCTCTGCGCCAAGCGATCCGGAAGGGCAAAGTGAACTCGACGTGGAAGACTATGTTTCGAGGAAACTTCGGAGGAGGAGGGGCGGAAGGCGAGGGCGACTGGAAGACAGAATACAGCAAGAGGTTGGAAGGACTGAGGCGATGGACAGGCATAGAAGTATGACAACGAAGAGGATTAGGAAAAGGTCTGAAATGTCTGTATCATGTGTTGAGAACGAATTAAGTTAAGTTGTGATCATACCAAAATTACAACAGGAAAAATCAAAAACAAAACCACACCTCAATTCAAGGCAACAAGACTCTAGGACATGATTCAGAGCCAGGCAAGGGGAACAACGTTGATCATCTCAAGTGGCAACAGAGATGCTCGCTTTATCCCCCTCGGCCTCTCCTGCCTGCTCCAACCTGTAGCTCTCCATCGTCTCAGACCTTCGCAGCTTCAGCATGCGCTGCATCTGAACGTAGCAGGGGAACGTCCTCACATCATGCACCTGAACCTCCCCGATGATGTTCATCCCCCTTGGCCCTCGCAGCAGCATCGATACCATCAACACCCTCAACCCGCCCCCATCCACCTCTCCCTGCACCTCCTCCTCCTCCTCCTCTCCCTTCTCCTCCTTCCTCCTTGCCCTCACAAATTTGTTCCTGATCCTGCACACTGACAGGGGCTCACTGCTGTCAGCCGCCCGCAGCCACTGGAGGACTTGAAGCATCTTGCTCGGCCCGCGGCAGACGACGGAGAGTCGAACGGGGTCGACGATGTTGGCAGCAAGAGGCCACGCGGCCTCCGGTCGGCAGGCAGGAGCGACAAACGAGGCCGATGCCAGACGAGAGATGGCTGCGACGTTGACGGAACGAGCAGCATGAGAAACGTCGGACAGAGCTGGAGAAGTCGCAAGAGCAGGAGGAGCGTTGTCAACATCATCAGCAGCAGCAGCAGGAGCAGCAGCAGGAGGACCACTAGCAGGAGCAGGAGGAGCGAACTCTTTCAGCTTCTCTCTCATGCGGTGCTGAGACTTGACCCGTGCATAGCGGACGGTGACGTCATCCTCCTCGCCCTCGAAGCGGCAGCGAAGAGTCACTTCCTCCCCTCCTGCATGTTGCACTACGAGACCGGTGGAGTGAGGCAGCAGCAGCAGCAGCAAAGACTCGCGGAAAGTCTCCGCCAGTGTTGTCGCCTTGGCATGGAGCTGCGCAACAAAAACATGCTCGGGAAGACACTGACAGGAGCGAGTGAACAAGGCTCGCGCCTCCTTCACATCCTCCTCGCTGACTCTGATCGCCTGCACCTGAATTCATGTGAGAGGTGAAATAGCAACTACATGCAGGAGCAGGGAGGGATAAGGAGAGCGATCAAGAAGGATCTCTCAGGATACACGTGCGCTGAAGAATCTCCAAGGATACATGTGAGCTGAAGGATCTCTAGGGGATAAATGTGAGCTGTTCTTACTCTCGCATCGTCTTGTCGTAGAGGAGTCTCTGGTATTTGATCCACGTTTCTCAACCCTTCCATGAAAGACGAAGAATACGAACTCCATGGATCGCTACTGCCAGAATAACAGGTTATCTCCACAATGATATCCTTACTCATAGGCTCAATTATCATAACCATCATCATCTCCATCACCATCGTCACTGTCATGATTTCCATCATCATCTCCATCATCATCATATTCATTATCATTGTGCTCTCTGTCAACAATGCAACGTCAAAATTTCCGCATCACCTTGGTGCATTTTCATTTAGTTTCAAGGAATCTTCGGCATCTGCGAGCTCCAGCAGCAATTCGCCTCCAGGCTCCTTCAGGATGGCCTGGCACTGCGCCTCTGAGACTTTGCGCAGCTTTCGGCATATCTCAGCCACAAGGTTCTTGAGCTTCACAAACAAAGTGACGTCATCATTCCAGATGCTCAATCTCGGCATCTTGTCCTCAAAGAATCGATATCTCTCCTCCTGATTCATGTCAACGAGCAAGACGCTGATATGCTGGGCCCTATCTAGGTTCTCCACCAATGCATGCTGACTTCCGGACATGTGGTTTGACATCTCCTTCAAAGGGGAAGAAAAGTCCAAATTGTACTCGAGAAGCTGCTGGCAGAGCTCGAGGATCCAGTTACAGAGGCTCATGTACTGGATGGAGAAGAGATGACTAGTGGAGTCTTTGTCCTGAATGCGAGCGAGGGAGTAGCAGAAGCTGTCGAAGAAAGTCTCGTCGAATTCTCGCTTCATCATGGCAAGGCGAGCTGCGGACTCCATCGACTGCTTGTCTATGAGGACGAGCTTCTCCCTATCCGCCCACATGTCTGCTTTCTCTGTGTTGAGCAAGAACCCCTCCTTGCGAGTGATGTGCAGGCGAGCGCGAAGAGATTTGACCATCTTTGCGAGCTTCTTCTCCTCTGCAGACGACGAGGATCTCGTGAAGAATCTTGTGAGTTGACCAACGAGGAGCAGCAGCACAAAGATGGGGACGAGAATGACCACCAGTACGACGTCCAGGCTCCAGCATCCTCCGTTCAAATCAACCTTGCCGCCGCTGCACACGGTGCAGTCCGACTCTTGCGTGTGACCCTGGCCGTCAGTCACATACCCACCTCGGCATTTGATCGGCGAGCTCGACTTTGCGGGGCAAAAGGAGTCGATGGGGCAGAGCTGGGAGCCCTCAGTTCCTCCGACACAAAACGAACCAGCCGGGCATGGCGAACAGAAGGAGAGGGTAGGATCAGCAAGCATGCCTGGCGGGCAGATAGCTGGGATCCAATGCTTCCAGGTGTCCATGTTAGTCTGCACCCATTGGCAAGCGACATTGAACATAGCGTCATAGACCTTGTCGCCTCGCGACTTCGCCAACGCACTTGCCCCCATCATCGCGTCCATATCTTGAGTGTAGAAGTTGAAACGAGAACCGAGAAATGCAACATGGCCGTCGGTCGCCGCCATGTACCTCCAGCAGTAATTCCTCGGCTTGACATTGGATAGACTTGTTCGGAAGAAACTCTGCGATTGCTCTAGAGTGTTGGGGTCAGGGCACTTGAGCAAGACGGGATACTTGTCAGACAAGCCCAGCAGGTTGTCATCTGGCTTGTACCATCCGAACATGAGCTTTGTAGACCTGATCGTGCGATAGTAGACATCGTCAAAGGCCGGCGTGCCGTCTCTCACCTTCAGTAGTGCGACTGGGAAATTCAAAAAGTACGACAGCTGGAAAACAACGTGGTACTCGTACTGGACAATCAAAGGAATGCACTTGGAGTTGTTTGCCAGCCGTCTGCAAGCAGGCGACAGCCAGACAACATCGTTCATGCAATCTACCTCGTTGTTCTGAGTGAACTCAATGTACTTGTTCTTTCTCCTGTCGTTCCCAAATTCCTTCGTGTCCAGCGCAGTGCAGGTCTCCAAATATTCAATCGGAAGAATCTTGAGGAGAGTGTCAAGAGAATCAAAATATTCGAAGGCGCTGTATAGTGCAGGGTCATAGAACTTGTAGTAGTCCAGAAATATGTTTTGACGAGTGCCAGCATTGTACACATCACTCCAGATGAAGATTTGATCTACAGTATCATACTCCATCACTGTTAGCAGTGTAGGCTGTAGGTCGTTTGGCAGCTTCTGTGTTCTTTCTATCCCAGAGCTCCAAGATTCTATCGTGAAGTGCAAGAGAGGGTTTGTCAGGTTTCGGATTGCACAGCTAGCGTCTGTTGGGTCGAGGCATCCAGATACATAGTTTACACCTGCTCCTGAATTCGGGACGGAGTTGTCGAAGACTGTGACAGAATACTCCATCACCTCTGCGAGCAAGATGTAGAAGATCTCTGCAAGGATCCTCGCAGAAGCCCATCCTGCATAAGGAAGCAAGACGTCGTGAAGACTGCCATCAGCGTACCGCAGTTTCCTCAGGCTGCCCGTCTTGTTTACGTTGAATTGTGGGAAGGAGAAGGAGGTCTGCGTGAGGCATTGCCTCGGATGAGGCACAGGGTTGAAGGAAGTAGCTGATCCAGCCCTCACCACTGCCATCAGTCCTGCCAACAGTGGAAGCACCAGCATGAGCGCGCAGGTCCAAGCCGGTTACAACACGAGGGCGATCGTCATCCTCCTGCAATAGGTGTAGTTTTCAGTGTGTTTCATGTTCCAGCATCTCTTTAGAACTTAATATCGTCCTTCTAGGACTTCAAGTACAAGCAATACGCCCGATTTCTACTCCTCATTTCGATGTCGCCCTCTCCTCGTCGTAGGCTCTCTCTCTCTCTCTCTCGCCCATGCGCACACTACCTATGTTTGACCTGATCTCCTCCCTTCCCCCTCCCGGCTGATCTGCTCTGATGTGATCTGCTCTACTGTCGCCACTGAGTGTAGCACAAGCGATGCTCGTGCACGTGGAAGATCTCTATGTGTGCTCTGCTCTGCTCTCCTCTCCTCTTCATTCCTCCCCTCCCCTCCCCTCCCCTCTCCTCTCCTCTCCTCTCCTCTCCTCTCCTCTCCTCTCCCCCCTCCCCTCCTCTCTTTCAACTGTTTTATATCTCAGGTTCTCAACTCTACTGCCGACTTACTTTTGATCTGCTCGTATCGCCTTAACGACTCTGCGAACTGATTCCTAGCTCAACAACACTGCCACGAGCTCTTCCTAGCTCAACAACACTGCCACGAGCTCTTCCTAGCTCAACAACACTGCCACGAGCTCTTCCTAGCTCAACAACACTGCCACAAGCTCTTCCGTTCTCGTGCCATAGCTGTGTGGCTCTTGCTCATTTTGTCCTCAAGACAAGAAAAGACAGCGAGAACCAACCCTAATCCTGCCAACTGCTATCCCCCAAACTTAACTGATATCTTCACTTAACTACGCGGAGGTCCTCGGACTGAGGGACCGCCGTGCTACTGCAAGTGACTAGGGAGCAACGAGTTGAAAATGTTTTATTACAGATCACGTCCACACTCGATCCATATGGGATACGCATTGAACGTTGAGTAGTTGGTTTATTTGAACCCAAGTTCAATGGTATGAGATATCTGAGTAACGAATGGGACCGTTGTAGTGACGCATTGATCAGAATCTTTAGCTATAAATACATCAGAGAACAAGTTGAACCTGGGCCATTGGTCTGGATAGGTCAAGCTTCACTTCGTCGAAGATGTTCGATGTGCGACCTGTTGTACAAAAGAAAGAAGATCGAATTGCGATCGGCACGGGTCAGCATACAATGATGCACCTTGTAAATTGCTCATGTGATTTATCAGATAAGGAACTGACAACGGTCCTGCGCAGTCAGTGACGTGATGGCCATCATGTCTTGACTTAATCAGGATAAAGATGTGCAGTATCACTAAAAAACATTCTTACAGTTCAGCACTTCTAGGTATTCTTGTACCTGTATCAGAACAACAGACTGTCGTTGAGACTCTGATTGATGACCTTCCAGCTGTTATCGTGCAAGATCAGTGCTGGAATTTATTTCTGATGGCAACAAACGTCATCAGATTACTCGTGATATCACGTAGAGAAAGTCATGCAAGGATCAATCAGGTCAGTGAAAGAGCATTTATTTTTGAATTCCGAGGGAGTTGATGTAGACAAAGGTTGGGTGTATCAAGGACTAGGAAATACTAATGCAATGACGATAAATTTTAAGAAGGCTGTTAGCAATCCTAGAGTGGATCTTGAAGCTTTTGACCGGTTTGATTGGATCATAATCTCCGTTCCAAAATTGTCATGCGTACAGGACCAAAATTCTGAAGTTGCCCTTGTCTCCCCGTGGCTAGGTTTTGAGCTCGCATCAATCCTGCTTGATTCCACTGTCCTTCGGCAGGAAATTCTTGCTGATGGATCTAGTAATTCGCTCTTCTGTTGCGTTGACCAGTCACGATGATGCAGGTTGCCTGGGTCAGGCTGGTATGAAACGTTCGTGACAAGATTTTCACGTGTAGATTCTACAGCAACAAGAGCATTTGAGCCATAGAATGAACTAAAGCTCTCCATCGAAGTAGGATCTGTCATGCCAAGAACAGTCTGTCTGATCTGATTGAGTCGATGGTCCAAAGCCTGGGGAAAAGATGTAGCGTCGAGGGAACAAACTGCGATGGTGAAGGGAAAGAGCGGTTGATGAATGCCATATCCGCACACCAAATCCCATCGTTCCATTTTCGTTTCAAGTCACAGGACATCGAAACGTTGTTAAATCAAGACCTTTCAAGAGATATCCCCAGATCTCATCGGGTTTTTGGGCCGTAAAGCAACGATCACGAGGGCAGCTTACGGGCGGATCGCTATCAGTTATCATCCAACCGTCAGCAAGTCCCGTCGCCGCTCGGAATGGCCTTACAGGCGACCTCAAAGAGGTTGTAAAGGTCCGTACAGTAGGCTAGACTCACTGCTTGTTGCCGTGACCAACTTACTTCGAGTCGGTAGCATCATCACTGGGCCGGGCTGCAATTGAACAGCTGCTTGCTCGTGACCGTTCGGGATTGGGACGAGTTTTGGCCTCGCTGCTCGGTGTGACCGTACGGAGAACCGTACGGGATCCGATGATCTCAGTCACGGCGCCCCGGCGGTGTGGCCGGGCGGCCTGCAGTGCGGCACTGCACCGGGTGACCGCCGCACTCCGGTCAGCCTGGCAGGGTTGAACCGCCCGCCACGGAGGCTTCTCAGTTCAACTGAGAGTCAAAGTTAAGTTAAAGATCGCCCTGCCAACTGCTCAGTGTCCCCAAAACTTAACTTAACTAGTAACTTTCCTGATACCTTCACCGTAACTGCGGCGCGCAGGTACGGCCCCGCGGTTCTCGGAGGCTCCCGGGCCCGCCGCGCCGCGTCCCGGCGACCGGGTGACTCAGTGGCGCGGACTGGGACGGCCACCCGCGATGATGGCGGCGAATGTCCGTGTGCCGCGGCGGCCAGTACGGAACTGAGTGACTGAACCGTTCAACTGAACAGTGATGGCTCACTGAGTGGGCCGGCCCGCCGCGCCGGGCCGCCGCGCCGGGCCCGGCCCCCTGATGAGACCGGTGAAGATCGGCACACACAGTCATGGCGGGGACGGTGACGGTAGCGGAAGAGACAAGAAGCTGCAAGGATGATGGCGGAGATGGAGATGTGACGATGTGAGGGCGATCAGTGTGCCTTGAATCTCTATACAAGAGCAGCTCATGAAAGGTCAGTGAGCTGAAAGTGTGAGCTCGAATCGTTGACCTTGTTCGAGCCAGAACCTTGCTGACATGTCCTTGCTATGATGACAGGCTAAGTGATGCAAGCATAGGTAATCGAAGCTACCGGGAAGAGGCAGCGTGACATGCAGCCCTCAGCTTTGACGAGATCACGGCTCCTACTTGTCTTCGTCGTTCTAGAGGTGACGCAAGGAATGTAAGCATCGTTTATGACGAATGGAGCAGGTGGCAGCAAGTCACAAGGTATCGGTCGAAGGACCTGCAGTCTATGTCGACGAGCACGCGAGGATGTGAGTTGGAACGCGATAGCAGAGCCTCTCTTCGCCCCTTGTCTCCCTCACCTGCTGGCAGGCGCATCAAGCCAGGGCAATACCTCAAGACTGTCCTCCTGCGAGTAGAAGGGCACAGCTCTCCCATCGCCATCCCCGTCCATGATGGAGAGGTGGCTGATCTGATCGCTGCCTCCTTCTTTCGCCAGTACAACCTTCCCTTCGACGAGTCTTACATTCCAGGTGAGCTCCGTGGTGTTATGAGCTGCTTGAGGAAAACTGCTGCATTGTTGCTGGTTTGACTGATTCTCATTGTGATGGTTGATGCTTCTTGTTCTTCTCTCTTCTCGTTCTTGCTGTCCTCTATCACCCGATGGCTTTGATGGCTGTCTGACTTACCTCATTCAGTTCACAACACAATCGCCGCGGTCCTGAAGAGGGAACAAGGCCCTGAAGACATCTCGAAATCGCGAGTGGATCCGAAGATTGCAGCGCAGGTAGCGGCGCATCCTTTCTTGGAGAGCTCGGACAAGAACAAGAACGTCTTCCTTGTGGTTGAGATTCACTTTGAGAGAGGAGGGGGGGCTGGAGGGAAAACCTTGCTATTTGAGGTCATGGAGGGGGAGGAGCCGTTGGATGCTGTGGCAAGGCACAAGGATGCTCAAGATCTTAGTGAGGTGGAGAGAGAGTTTGCAGTGAAGCACGTGACAGACAGGATCATCGACAAGCTCTTGCTCGAGGAGAAGAAAGTGGCTGAGATGCAGAGAGGAGATCGAATTGCGGCCATGTTTGGCGTGGAGGCAACAAGTAGCCAGACCTTGCAGTCTCCCCTCCGGCATGACAGCGACCCTTCCTGGAGGAGGACGGATCCAGACGACCTTAGGGATCAGGATCGCGTACAAGAGATGCTCTTCCATCTACAGCATCCTCCCTCCTGCAGCGATCGCAACCTAGTGGTTTTCTCCATGGACAGAGCGATCTGGGGCCTTGCGGTGAATATTCACTTCCTCACTCTCCTCCTCAACTTCTGCTGGAGGCACAACCGAACGCTGGTCACCGCAGACCCCGATCACTGGAACTACGCGGGGAGAGAGTGCACGAGAGGATGGGAGTGCTTCTTCCACCCCATCAGCTCATGCAGGGAGGATGACGTCTGGCAGCCCTACACCTCTGACATTCGCAATGACATCCTCTTCGACTTCCGCGGCTACCTCTACCAGGTCGACACCAGCACCCAACGCGTCCTCCACTTCTCCAACGTGGACGGGCCTTGGCTGCAGCTTCTGTCGCAGGAGGAGTATCGTCTCTTCCTGCCGGAGACCTTCCGGCATCGCGGACACCTCTGGTGGCGATCGCAGCTGACTAAGTTTGTGATGCGGGAGAAGCCGTTTGTGAGGAGATACGTGGAGGAGCGTCGCACGGCCATCGGCTGGCACCGCGACCTTGTGGCCCTTCATGTTCGGCATGGCGACAAGTCGTGGGACGTCGCTCACCAGGTGAAGTGAAAGTGACGAACAGGAGAGCAAGAGGCAGGGAGGAGGTAGCCATGGCAAAGTAGAGGATACACGAGCTTAGCCATCCTCCTCCTCCTCCTCCTCCTCCTCCTCCTCCTCCTTTTCCATCGCTTTCTCCTCCTGCTCCGCGATAACTTGTACTCCAGGCATCTTACATGGGAGGGCTTCAGCCCTACCTCGACAAGGCCGCGCGGCTTGCAGGAGGACAACGGGGACAGCTGCGTTACTTCATCAGCACGGATGATCCAGGGGTCCTAGAAGAGGCCCAGGTGACCGGTCATGCATGCTCCTGCGCCTGATGCGGTGGTGCAGGCTCGGTCTCTCGATGCAGTGTGGGATAGAGAAGAGGCTCGTTACAACGGCACGCACATCTACTCCCCTCCTGGCGTGTCGGAAAAGAAATGGCCAGGCTTCCCGGGCAGCGACGACCGAGTCAACACGCTGAGGTCAACAACCATTCCACTTCCTCCTCCTGTCTCCGCTGCACTTCCACTTCCTCCCCTCCTACTCTTTGATGCAACCCTTCTCCCGCACCTCTTCCTCCTCCCATCTCGTCGCTTCTCGTCTGACGTGCATGCACAGCTATACGCTGGACAGCATCAAAAGCGTCTTCCTGCTCGCCGACGCGCGCTGGTTCGTTGGCACGACGACGTCTTGCTTCTCTCGCCTGGTCTATCAGGTCCTCAGCGCCTCTTGCACCCGTTCCTCGGCTTTCATCCCAGCTCATCTTCTTTGTAGCTCTCCTCCTCCTCCTCCTCTCCCTCGTCCTCTCCCTCGTCCTCTCCCTCTCCCTCGTTCTCTCCCTCTTCCTCTTCCACGTTCTCTTCCTATTCCTTGTTTTTTGTTCTCGAAATCCCTCCGAGCTTCTCTTCCTCCTCCCTCTTCTGCTCGAATGCTGCTGTTTCCTTCTCTTTTCCTTTCTTGTCTTTCGCTTCTTTCTCAATTCTTTCTTCAGCTGCGAGTAGCGCGGAACTTGCAGCATGCGGACATGAGCAACGCGTGGACAGTGGACAGGTAAGGCGGATAGCCGGCAATGATGGCTGGGAGGGAACGAGGGGCAAGAGGAACGTGAGAGGAAGTTGCCAGAGGGTTGAGAAAGAGAAGCAGGAAGAGGAAGGAGAAGAGAGAAAGACAAAGGGAGAGGGAGGGAGGAGGTGGGAGGGGGGAGAAGGAGCTGTCTTTCTCTCTTATTGACATGGCAGAGACCCACGTTACCCTCAGTGGGAGGGCTGGATCATCGACCCTTGACATCGTCCTCGTACTCCACCGCAACCTCCTCCGGTAGTTGCAGCTCCACCGCAATGCCGAACTCTTCCTGGCACTGCAATGGAGTGAGACAGTCGGGCAAGAGGGAGGACGAGAAATCGGGAGGAGGAGGAGGAGGAGAAGGAGAAGGAGGAGGAGAAGGAGGAGGTGGAGATGTACTAGCCAAAGAGAGACAGGGGGGATAAAGAAAGGAATGAAAGAGCACCGATGAGGAGGCAATGGGTGGAGAAGAGGAGGGGCGAGTAGGAGGGAGCAGATATGATGAAAGTTCACCTTCTGAGCGATTGACTTCTGAAATTTCCCGAAATTTTCAAGACACCGGATGTGGGTAGGAGCCACTCGCTGACGTTCAAGTCACGATGAGGAGGAGGAGAAGGATGAGAGTGAAGGAAACAGCACGAGTGATCGAGACGGGGGGGGGGGGGGAGCAGGAGAAGAAGGAAAGATGAAGATGAAGATGTAGGGAGCAGGTAAGCACAGCAGAAAGGCCGGAAGAGTAGAGGACGGGGAGGCACGGAGGCACGGAGGCGGGTAGAGGAGGGAGGGAATGGAGACAGGGAGAAAGCAAGAGCAGGGAGGGGAAGGAGAGAGGAAGGAAGCAAGAGCAGGGAGGGGAAGGAGAGAGGGAGAAAGCAAGAGCAGGGAGGGAAGGGGGGAAGGAAGAAGGAGAACCTGCCACTCCTTGCAGATTCGATCCAGCTCCTTTGCAGCTTCCAACCACATGGCTGAGCTCTTCTGCACTCGCGCGTCCTTCTCGGAAAACCTTTTGCCCTCGTCAATTCATCGAGTTCCTCCTCCTCCTCTCCTCCTCCTCCTCCTCCTCCTCCTCCTCCTCGACTACTACCACCATCATACTCCTCATCTTCTCCCTCCTACCCCCAACCCCCCTTGATTCTCGTACGTATGTTAACTCAAGACGTTTTCCTCTGCTCTGCTCTGCTCTGCTCTGCTCTGCTCTGCTCTGCTCTGCTCTGCTCTGCTCTGCTCTGCTCTGCTCTGCTCTGCTCTGCTCTGCTCTGCTCTGCTCTGCTCTGCTCTGCTGCTCTCTTGCCCCCCCCCCTCCAATCCTCTCCTGCGCCCCTCTCATTACCTTTTATCCTTCCTTATCCCCTCCAGCCGGACGTGCAGCTCCCTCCACTCAGTGTAGCACGAGCGAAGCTCGTCCGCGTTGAAATTATCAAGCGCCTGTGAGAACGAGTCAACACAGCCAAGGAGGAGAAGAGAAATGAAGAGAAGAGAAAAGAAAAGAAAAGAAGATTGGAAAGAAGAGAAGAGAGGAAAGGAGAGAAGAGAAGAGCAGAGCAGAGCAGAGCAAGAGGAGCATGGGAGTGAAGGACGGGAGCGAAGGATGGTAAGGAGGCGCGAACGAGACGAGGAGCAAAAAGGAGTAGGAGCGCACCTGTGCAAGGATGATCTGAGACTTCTTCGAGAAACCTGATTGCTTCGCTGCTGACTCGTCCATTCCAACTCCTCCCGCAATGCCCTGGGAGAGAGGAGGAGCAAGTGAGTGGAGCAAGCAGCTGCATATGGAGGCAACCATGAGAAACAAAGCCTCGAGAAAATCCTCGAGCGAGGACCCGTTGGCTTCGATGCGAGGATAGAGGTCAGGCTCGGAGAGGAATGTAGTATACTTGCGAATGAGAGCAAGCTGCATCAAACAATCAGAACGTGAAGGTATCAAAGGATAGACCACAGAGAAAGAAAAGGGAAGAACGGGAAGATGAATCTGTGGGAGTAGAGAGGGCAAGAGGGAGGAGGAGACTGATAGAAGATGGGAGGAGAAGAGAGGGAGGAGAGGGGAGGGAGGAGAAAAGGGAGGAACAGAGGGAGGAAGAGAGGGAGAAGTAGAGGGAGGAGGTGCTTTACTTCATCGTCCGTGAGGGAGGGGCCACCTATCTTTCCCTTCCCTTTGATGTTGTGAGAGATTCGGACGAAAGGAGCAAGCATCCTGTCCATCTTGGCTGCAAGGTCGGCAGTCTGCTCTTTCTGTATGGACGAGATCAAAGAAAACGCGAGCAAGGCGAGACGAAGAAAATGGTGAGTCAAGAATCAGGAAGACAGGAGTGGAGGAGGAGGCCCGGGGGGGGGGGGGGGGGGGGTTGAGAATGACTAGGACGAGGAGGACGGGAATGAGCACGAGGACGAGGACGAGGACGAGGACGAGGACGAGGACGAGGAGATGTTGGCGGTGGGCTACCAGGAGCAAACTCTCGTCGTACATGGTGTCCTCAAAGCTTTCCTGCGTCACCTGTTTGTACATGTTGTATTTCTCAAGCGTCTGCTCGTAATCGACTCTGATCCTTGAGGTCTGATGGGGTAGCATGTCAGGCCCTCCTGCCGCCAGACTCTCTCCTCACCTCTCGCAGCACGTGATAGTCTTCCAGCAACGCATCCCATCCGTCCAGTACGTTGGTCTTGATTCTCAGCATCTCCTTCAGGATTGCCTTGTGCCTCTCGCACACGGTCTCTGCCTCCTTCACCACCACCCCGAGCTCGCTCCTGAACGTCTGCAGGATGGCCAGCAGCTCAGTCAGCCTGTCGCTCTCCCGGACGTTGAGGAAGAAGTAGAAGCACTCGACATTCAGCTCGCATAGACTCTTGTGGCTCCTCGTCACCCCCGCCAGCACCTCATGCATGCCCCTCATTATGCTCGACACGCTGCTCTGATCCAGGCTGCTTGGGAACTCCCTGCCGTAAGCCTCGATGGTGTGGACGATGCTGTCGAGGTTGAGCTTTGCTGCCTGCACCTCCTTATAAGGCCTGACCAGCATGACATCCTTCGTCTTGGCGTTCATCACAGTCAGCTGCTTCCCTTCGTCCTCCACATTAATGCTCAGTATCTCTCCTATCTCGATGCAGACGTTCTCCATCCGCACAAGCACCCTGCAACACGTCGTCATGCACGTACACCTTCATCGAGTCTGAGGCCGAAGCATCGCACGGGGAACTACCTGAAGGCGCTCACGAGGGCTGCGAGCACGTCCACTAGCCCTCGCTGGTACATGTCCTCCAGCTTCTCGTTCGTCCAGTCCCGCAGCTCCAGGAGGCTCACACTCTCCCTTGAAGCCTGACTGCTTCCTGCCCCTCCCATCTCTTGCTGTCCTGCTCTGCTAAATCTTGTATCTGAGGTCACTTCTGACCGCCTCGCATCGTTTCTCCCTCATCCCCTCTGTCCTCTCTCGTTCAGTGCTTCCTCGCTTCAAGGCCCTCATCACTGCATCTGCATGATCATCGTCATCGTCGTCATCATTATCATCTGTTTTGTCTCCACCATCTTCATCACCTTCATCGTCTTCACCATCTTCGTCGCCTCGTTGTCGCTTCCTCCAACCACCGCCCTTTTTGCTGCATGCCTGGCGAGAAGAAGCCCAGAAGACGAGGGCCGTAGCGGGGACGAGGGTTACTCAAGGCCCGGCCGGGGTAATTTCCCGAGTCTTTCTCAGTGATTTTTTAAGACGGGTTGGTCTGAGTGGAGATGAGGTCGTCATCGAAAAAAGTTGTACGATGGTGGCCGCAAGGTACGAAGTTGGGGAGGAGGAGGAGGAGGAGGAGGAGGAGAATCAGATGGAGGAGATGGAAGAGGCAGGAGGATAAGTGGGTGGAAGAGAAGAGTGAAATCAAGAACCCTTCATCTCGATCAGGACGAGGAAAGGCTACAGGAACAAGAACAAGGACAGTTGAGATTGTCATGTCTAGCTAAATGCTTCAAGATTTGTGTTGATAGGAAGATGATTCTCTTCCCTGCTGTGGATGCAGTTTCGATAAAACAGACAGCAGTTGACCAAGTTTTGGTTCCCCCCCCCCCCCTTTTCTCCCTGCAACCCGGACAATTTTGCTGACTTCGTGGCTACCAAACACTGACATTCCTCCTGACCTCTGCTCGCAGGATGTTACGAGCCTCCGTCCTCTTGTGTATGACCGCGCAGTCGTTCGCCTTCAGAGCAGGTGAGCAGGCTGACAAGACAGGAGGGTGAAGGTGCTGACGGGAGAGCAGCGCTGTATCCCATGACAAGACATGTAGCTAAGACCCAGCTTCCCAGCCATCGAGGTGCCTCAGCTCGCTCACTTGCGACTCTTTACGTGACCTGCTCTCCCCTCAGCCACTCCCGCCATCCTCCGGCAGAGGCCTCGTCTGAACTCTCTGAAAAGTAAGAGAAGGAGGAAGAAGGGAGGGTTGGGGGCAGGTAGCGATGAGTAGAGGAGAGCAAGAAGACAGTGGGAGGGTTGCGGAGGGAGGAGGCAAGAGACAGGATGAAGCATGGAGTCTTGCATGATCTGTGCTCCAGTGGAAACGAACCCAAAGGAGCTCCGACTCGAGCTCACTCTCGGCGAGCTCTGCAAGACCCTGGTGGGCCCATAGACCCACCTTGTGCTTTCTGATGGTAAACGGCAGGTCGGGACCTGTACGTCCGGTACCCTCTGCACAACCCTCCCGGTCCGAGAAGATTTCGACGGGCTCCACAGGTTTCTCCCCTCCTCCTCCTCCCTCCCATCCTTCTCCCCTCTACCTTTTCTTTCTTCTCTTCTCCGCTCCTCTCCCCTCCCTGCTCTCCTCCCCTCTCCCTCTCCCTCTCGTCCCTTCTCTGATACGCTGGAAGGTTCGGCCCACAGTCCCAGGCCACCGTAGAGAAGTGGGAGAAGTACGGGAAGGAGTATCCATTCGGTGACGAGCTGAGAATTCAGCTGAGGGAGAGCTGAGGATGGACAGGAACGCTGGTGAGCTACTTGTTGAACGAAGAAGGGCAGCCGTACATGCTGCTGGCCAACAACGCGGCGCACACTCGCAACATCATGGCGAATCCCAAGACGGCGCTGTACGTGCAGAACCCGCAGAGCCCGGGACAGAAGGGAGCGCGTGTGACGCTGGTGGGAGAGATTGAGAAGATCTCCAACCCGCAGGTCAGGAGGAGGAGGACGGAGTGAGACGGTTGGAGGATGGAGGGAGGGGGGGGGAGGACGAGCAGGAGTTGACTTGCTGACTGCTGCGCAGGAGCTGAAGGACTGCAAGGAGTTCTACGCCGACAGATTCCCGGACCAGGCCGAACCTCTCGAGGACGATCGATTCTCTCGCTACTTCACCATGTGCGGCCCCACCTGCCCCAGCTCCACAGCAGCTGATGATGTTGGCAGGTATAAGCTGATCATCAAGGACATCTACTACGTGTCTGGCTTCGGAGTGACAACCTGCTGGGTCAACCCTGAGGAGTTTTCAAAGGCGCAGGCCGATCCTCTTGCGCCTTTTTCTCAGGTCCTCTCCCCCACTGCCTCCTGTGCCTCGTGAGCCTGCCTTGCAGGAGCTGCTGGACGAGTGGAATAGGAAGAGACAATCTGAGTACCAGGCCCTTGCCGCGGTGAGATGGAGGAGGAGAGGAGAAGCTGGGGATGAAGTCGAGGTGGTTGTGGGGGGGGGGGTCAGGGCTGTTGGTTGTGGCACAAGTATAGATTGAAGAAGAGGAGGAAGGGGGGGCAGAGGGAGGAAACACTTTTTCACGAGCTTCTACAGGCTTTCTTCGGCTCCGAGCTCGACCTGGACGATGTTGACAGCCCTCGCATCACGCAGGTATGACCCACTACCCTAACCCCCTCCTTCTCCAATACACACCCTCCCGCCCTACTCTGTGTACGCCCGATTCCTTCCTGCCCCTTACCCTCTCTCTCCTCTTCTCCCCTCTTCCTACTCTACGCCTTCTCTTGCTCTTGCTCCCCCGCCTCCCCCATGCTCATCGCTCCCTGTAGCTTGACAGGTTTGGCTTCGACTTTCGTTTTCGTTTCCCCAGAAAGGATGGACAGCATGTGAGTTGCCTTGGCCCAGATCTTAACCTCTTATCCTGAACTTACACCACGATCTATCTTTTCTCCTTCCCATTGAAATTTCCTCTTCCTCGTCCCCATCCCCATTATTATCCTCGTCCCAAGCCGCATCCCCATCATCCTCTCCTCCTCACGACGGTTTCATATCCCATCAATGATGCTCAGTCACCTTCGATGGCAAGTTAGTGTTGGGGCGTGTGACCTTTGCACAGGACGGGCAGTACGACATTCGCGAGTATCGCATCGGCTTCCGTAACCACGCCATGTCGAAGGAGGAGGCTCAAAGCGCCATGTTCAAGATTTTGCAGGAGGTGCGTAGAAGAGGAAAGCTGATTTGAAGATGAGGGGGCCCGAAAGGGAGAGAGAGAGGAGACAAGGAGAAAAAGGAGACACGCAAGGAGGAGACACACAGACAGGCAGAGGATGGGAAGCCTGCAGTTGACACCCTGGCACAGGCGTGGGAGAAGATCAACGGATACGATGACGAGGTAGGAAGATTCAATCTCTCTTCTCCTCTTCACTAGTCCAGTCCCCCTCCCCTCGTTTGGATTCTAATCACATCAGCAGTGGGGTGATTTGGATAACCCCCCAATGATCCTAAAGAGAGCAACCGACCTTGAGGTGCCTGGCGTCTCCTTCCTAAACCCCAATGACAAGCCTGACAGGTTGCGCAACAATCGAGCAAACCCATGACGGTAACGGGAGCGCAACGGGACTAGAGAGGCGGGCTTGTTAAAATCCACACCATTTCTTATAAACCAAAATATCCTCACACCCAAACAATCAATCGAACAAACCGACTTAAATTTCTTGTTGACTACTGAAGCTTCTCAAAGATCTTGTTGACCACTGCAGCTTCTCATCAGACGTCACGTGACATCCCGCGACCCTGGTCGAGATCATCGAATGCCTGCAAGACTGTCAGTTTCTGATCGCTGTGCCTTCTCCATCCTCTACCAATGCTTGCTCGACCATCCCCTTCCTTCTTCTCATCATACCTGGCGCCAGTTGTTTGGCTGGGCTCCCCCTACACCTCCTGCAGCGCTCTGCTGCACCGGCTGAGCTGACATCCAGTTCGCTGGCGCGTTGCCGGCGTTCTCATCGATCATGCGGGGAGGAGGAGCCGACATGAAGGAGTTTGGCATGCCACCGGGCATCATCGACGTTTGCATAGGAGACATCATCATCTGGCTGGGCTGAGACATCTGAAAAAAATATCGGTGACTATCGACCCAAATTTAGCCAAGGCTCTACCTGACGCGGCGAGCTCATCTGCTGCATCGTCGCCATCTGTGACAAAAGCATGCCGAGCTGCTCCTGCGAGATAGGCGAGTTCTTTCCAGAGGATTGTTTGCCAGCCTTAGATTTCTGACTCTGGTTGCTCTCGCCAGCTTGGTCATCGACGTCTTCGTCGTCGTCCGACATCTCTTGCGCTTCCATTTCAGCCTGCTGTCGGCGGCGGAGCTCCTGTATCTTCCCCGTCATCCTCTCGCGCCCTCCCTCCTCGCCCCCTCCTTCTGACCCGCATCTTCTTCTTCTCCGCGTTGAAGTCTTCCATCAAGTCCGACTTCGTCACCTTCAGCTCTGACAGCTCAAGATTTGCCTTGTCCATGAGCAGCTGGAACCGAAGTAGCGCAAACCCGTCTGCACACACCCAACACGCCCCGTCAGAAACAACTCGTCATACCCCTCCACCCTCCTACTCACACATAGACTTCGCCAGCACGTCCATCACAACGTTGATGCAATGCTCCGTCACTTGGTCGATCACCTTGGTCTTGAGCAGCAGCCACAACACCGGGTACACCATCCAGATGCAGAAGTAGGTGCTCAAGGCCGTCTGCAGTGGGTTCCTCACGTTCTTGTTGCGGAAACCTGTCAATCACATCCCTCCGTCACGTCCCCGCCCCTCTACTCCCTCCCGCCAGATCCACCTGCTTTCGAGGCCACCGACACTCGCCGGGACTGGGTCGTGTTGCCCTTCTTGGCGAAGTACTGGATGAAGCGTACCTGCGCGCACTTGCATCAGCCACCATGTCCTGCCTCCTGCCTCCCTTCCCTACCTGCACGAGGCTAATGATGTTGAACCACGTGTAGCTGAACAGCAGCATCCCAAACGCAAACCACAGAAACCTGTACATCCCATCCTCAGCCTCCAGCCCTCAGTATCCCCTCGCCTCTCCCTTGACATACGTGGCTGGTGGTGGTGTGTTCGCAGACATGAAGCCGGTAAAGATCGTGATCTGCACGTACACCGCGTAGGTGATCTTGTACGGCAGGTTGAGCGTAGTCAGCAAATCGAAGGTCTGCCACACTCCGTCAGCCTCACCTCCCCTCTCTTACTCTTCGTCCCTACCAGAAGAGGGCAGGTGATGAGGTAGTCAAAGTACTTGTACAGGATGATGTTGGTCGCGGCCCCGACGTCTCCGGACAAGTGCGACGTGATTCTTGCGTACTGCGCCATCCTCCCGTCAGCTCCGTCAGCTCCGTCAGCTCCTCTGTCCTCCTCCCCATCCCTTTGCCCGCTCCCCACCACTCCGCATCGTCACTCACATATGCCACTGCCGCAAACAGATTCACGTACAGCGAGATCATCCCCTTCTCACGGTACCCTGCACGCCGTCAGCTTTCACCCCCAGCCTCCTGACCCTCATCTCGCGCCTTACCGAAGAAGTAGAGGATGTCTTTGTTGGGCGGCTTGAAGTTCATCAGCCTGTACGCCAGCACGGCCGCAGTCCCTCCCAGCGAGATGAAGCCGACCCAGTCTGCGATCAATCGGTCATGACATGGGCTTGAATGACAGCGGAGTACCAAGTGCCTGGACGACGGGGGTGCGCAAATAGGCTACCGAAGAGGTGCTCATGGTATGAACTCAAAGGTTCGATGAGTAGCACAATATTCTGGTCTGAGAGTTGAAAGATAGATTTTCTGTCAACCACAGCATGCTTCAGTACATTGAATCAGCGGTTGTTGTACTTGGATACTTTCTAATGCTGTACTGATTGCATCTCTTTCCTTCAGTTCCTGCTCATAGGGCTGAGATCTATTCGTTCAGGAAACAAGGTATCTTGTTGCTTCTTCTACGTTCCTCCCCATCCTCCTCCTTTTCCTTCTCCATCCTCGCCGCCTCTCTCCCTCGCAACCCTCAATATCCATTTCACAGTGAGCTCTGATACACTCCTCAAACCCACCCCTACCCACTCTCTTGATACCCCCCATGCATTCCACCCTCCTATTCATATGGGATGACCCGGTTCTTTTAGTCCTTTGTACCAGACAGAATCAATTCACCCCATCCCTTTGGATATCCACGAGTTTCCTCTAGTCCCCCACCCCCTTATCCCCCGCAATCTCCACCTACCCATTGCCCCATTCTTGGGTCTATTTTAATTTCAGATACAGGATGCAGTCCCGAGGACGGGGTGGGTGAGCAGTCATTGAGGGGGTAGGGTGGGTCACACACCTAACGCAACAACCAAGGAGGTCGATGATTTCGCTGGGGTCGGTAGAAGGGGATAGAAACGGATATGAAAATGAGTAAAGAAATTGTATGGAGAATACTACTGTAAAAATTAATGTAAGGCATTTTGGTACTGAAAGAATTGACGAGCGAGGGGCCGTAAGAGAATGTCGGATCGGGGGTGGTAGACTATTTGGGATTTGTGGGGGTGCACAAAGGTTGAGGAGGGGGTGGGGTCCAGAGAAAATGGGGGACTCCACCACATCCCGAGTAACCGAGCAGGAGACAACTAAAATACTTTTAAAATGGGTCTTTCTTACAATGGTTGTAGTCAAGTTTGATGGCTCTTGTTCTCATAGAGGGACGGCGGCATGGTGGCAAAAGCGGGGAAAGGGGAGACGGCAGGTACAGCCATTAGCAGATCCGTCTCAAACATGGTCTCACTTTTAACCCCAAGATGTTCCGATGGGGATTGAAGCAGTAGATGCATCATCACAAAATTCTTGCAGGGAGCATGGGGAAACAGAAGAAAACTGATGTCTAGAAATGTCCAACTACAAGTGTACAAGTTCATGATAATTCGAACAAACGATATTGCACATGGCATTGCCACATGTCATATCTTCACAAGAGCTAAAACGGAAAATTAAGCAAAAGCCAAGGATCGATGCGATCACAACTATAAACAAGCCCACACAGGAGCTGCTACATATGTCAATATCACACATCACGCGACATCCCGCGACCCTGGTCGAGATCATCGAATGCCTGCAAGAATGTCAACACCATCAGTAAAATCTCAATCCCTTCAAGATCAGCTGACCTGGCGCCAGTTGTTTGGCTGGGCTCCCCCTACACCTCCTGCAGCGCTCTGCTGCACCTGCTGAGCTGACATCCAGTTCGCTGGCGCGTTGCCGGCGTTCTCATCGATCATGCGGGGAGGAGGAGCCGACATGAAGGAGTTTGGCATGCCACCGGGCATCATCGACGCTTGAAGGGGTGAAGCTGGTTGACCGATCGGTGCCATCTACAAGATATCGGTGACTATCGACCCAAAACTAGCCAAGGCTCTACCTGACGCGGCGAGCTCATCTGCTGCATCGTCGTCATCTGTGACAAAAGCATGCCGAGCTGCTCCTGCGAGATAGGCGAGCTAGTGCCTGAAACATGATTGCCTCCCTTGATCTGATTCTGACGACTGTTGCCATGCGCCTCCTCCTCGTCATCCGATAATTCTTCTCCTTCCATTTCAGCCTGCTGTCGGCGGCGGAGCTCCTGTATTTTCCCCGTCATCCTCTCGCACCCTCCCTCCTCGTCCCCTCCTTCTGACCCGCATCTTCTTCTTCTCCGCGTTGAAGTCTTCCATCAAGTCCGACTTCGTCACCTTCAGCTCTGACATCTCAAGGCTCGCCTTGTCCATGAGCAGCTGGAACCGAAGTAGCGCAAACCCGTCTGCACACACCCAACACGCCCCGTCAGAAACAACTCGGCATACCCCTCCATCCTCCTACTCACACATAGACTTCGCCAGCACGTCCATCACAACGTTGATGCAATGCTCCGTCACTTGGTCGATCACCTTGGTCTTGAGCAGCAGCCACAACACCGGGTACACCATCCAGATGCAGAAGTAGGTGCTCAAGGCCGTCTGCAGTGGGTTCCTCACGTTCTTGTTGCGGAAACCTGTCAATCACATCCCTCCGTCACGTCCCCGCCCCTCTACTCCCTCCCGCCAGATCCACCTGCTTTCGAGGCCACCGATACTCGCCGGGACTGGGTCGTGTTGCCCTTCTTGGCGAAGTACTGGATGAAGCGTACCTGCGCGCACTCGCATCAGCCACCATGTCCTGCCTCCTGCCTCCCTTCCCTACCTGCACGAGGCTAATGATGTTGAACCACGTGTAGCTGAACAGCAGCATCCCAAACGCAAACCACAGAAACCTGTACATCCCATCCTCAGCCTCCAGCCCTCAGTATCCCCTCGCCTCTCCCTTGACATACGTGGCTGGTGGTGGTGTGTTCGCAGACATGAAGCCGGTAAAGATCGTGATCTGCACGTACACCGCGTAGGTGATCTTGTACGGCAGGTTGAGCGTAGTCAGCAAATCGAAGGTCTGCCACACTCCGTCAGCCTCACCTCCCCTCTCTTACTCTTCGTCCCTACCAGAAGAGGGCAGGTGATGAGGTAGTCAAAGTACTTGTATAAGACGATGTTGGTCGCGGCCCCGACGTCTCCGGACAAGTGCGACGTGATTCTTGCGTACTGCGCCATCCTCCCGTCAGCCCCGTCAGCTCCTCTGTCCTACTACTCCCCCCTTGCCCGCTCCCCACCACTCCGCATCGTCACTCACATATGCCACTGCCGCAAACAGATTCACGTACAGCGAGATCATCCCCTTCTCACGGTACCCTGCACGCCGTCAGCTTTCACCCCCAGCCTCCTGACCCTCATCTCGCGCCTTACCGAAGAAGTAGAGGATGTCTTTGTTGGGCGGCTTGAAGTTCATCAGCCTGTACGCCAGCACGGCCGCAGTCCCTCCCAGAGAGATGAAGCCGATCCAGTCTGCAATCAATCGGTCATGACATGGGCTTGAATGACAGCGGAGTACCAAGTGCCTGGACGACGGGGGTGCGCAAATAGGCTACCGAAGAGGTGCTCATGGTATGAACTCAAAGGTTCGAGGAGTCTGAGATTATGTTTGCTGTGTTCTTTGCTTTATCTGGCATGCGATTCATTAGTTTTCTCATGTTTGAGATGTTTTTTTGAAAATCACGTACGCATGCTGGTACATTCGCAGGTATCTGCTAACTTTTGCGATCAATTCTAGACTATAATCAAATAAAGGGGTCTGCGTGTGCATTGAGTTTTGACATGATTTGCTACTCAAACAATTGAAAATCAAACCACGCACTCAATCTTTCAAATTGTACTCATGTATACATTCCACTGTTATCTCCCCTTTCATTGAGTGTGCTATTTCAATCCATCCGATCGACCATCCTGCGTACTTCTTCTTTTCCTCTCTCAGTCATCCTTTGCTGCCCTTGTCTCCTCTCCGTCAACCTCCGCCATCTCCCAGACTGTCGCCGCCTTTGCCTCGCCAATATGACTCGCGGGATTCGAGGGACTCCACCCCAGGTCAACAAGTTTCCCAACAGGGTGAGAGGGTGTATAGGGAAGTGGGGTACTTCTCAGGGGAAGATGGGGGTAGGGTCATACATAGATAGGGTCATTGGGATGTGAAAATGATGACGGGGGACCAGAAATGGTGAAAGGTATCTTGAGGATCCTAGATGGTGGGTGGTCAACATCAATATCACTCACATTTGTTTCCATAGTACAAAAATTCTACAAATAATAATGAGTAAACATTGACGATAGATCAACATGGAGGTATCTAAGGCCCCCAAGGGGACGGGGTACCAAGGAAAATACCTGAAACAATGTACTGTTATGAATAGTTTTGAGTTCATGAAAAAGTATCTTTTCACTGACTGGGGGTCAGATCAATGGCCCTTTGGTACAGAACATCCCTGGTACAATTTGTACCGGGATGACGGCAGATTGGATCTCGGGGGGTCATGTTCAGGGGCTGCAAAAAGGGGCAGGTCGTCAGATACGGTCGTATCTCAGGGACGGAACGGTCCATGTCACACTGCAGTGGAAACGAGCGTTTCCGTATCGACTGTTCTAAAACGTTTTACTCCTCTCTGTTGCTACTGGATTTACGGCCCCTCAAATAGCACGGGAGCCCTAGTAGCCTACAACGCCTATGGCGAGATCGGTAGCTGGTTACATGTAATTTTATCATATATTATTGATTTCTAAAAATGAATGTAAGGGCGGTTACACTCTGGCTACATGGTAGTAACGGATACTTCAGTCTCGTACAACAAATGTCTGGTACATCCCCGGGGCCCGAAGGGAGAAAAAAAAAGGTCAAACTCGAACAACAAGACAACGGGTCAACATCATCAAGTCTGCTGTGGAAGAGAGTGTGTGTGGTGGTGGTGTTCCTTCAGAAGATGGCGCGAGGAGCGCTTGCAAGCCTCGTCGCCCTCTGTCTGCTGGGCTCGAGCTCGAGTGTGAGCTCGTCCTACACGCTCAACGATGGGACAGGGAGGACGAGCGATGGTAACATCCTGTACATGTGGGGGAGGAACAACGTTGCGCAACTCGGGGTTGTCTCATGCGTGCAAGACACAAGGTTCTTCACCTTCTCGTGCCTCCCTGATACAGTCGACCGGTCGACACCCTCTGCTTGCCCGCTGCTGGGATACTCCAAGGTTCTGAATGCCAGTCTGGGCAACACCGTCTCCTTCGTGCTGCTTGCCGATGGCAGCGTGTACTCATGGGGGGAGGGGCAGTACTTGGGAGTGGAGACAAGCGAGCTGTACACCGGGGTACCGAACCTCGTGGATGGACTAGCGGGAACGAGGAGGATTGAAGTCGGTTACACGAGCACACTCGCATCCTTTGCTCCTCGCCAGGGGAACATCATCGAGTACGATGACTTCCAGAACTTTCACAGCGACTTCAGGTCGGGGCCGTCAGCTTCGATCTTGTTTCGGACTCCTCTCCTGACTTCCTGTCTTCAGCTTCGTTGGGGATGCACAGCCCTCGTTCTCGCCTCCTCTTGACTGCCCAAGATGCGTTGCATGGGAGAAGTCGAAAGCTCAGCCTGTAGGGTTTGCACCCATCACAGGGTACAAGTGTCAGGCTCCACTATGGGGAACTCTATCCAACCCCTGGTGTGCGAGTCATAAGTGAGTTTGTCTTCCTCACAGGATGGCAGGTGCTACGTCGGGAGCTTTGCTTCGGCTCCTTGCAAGAATGCCATACAGGCGGGTCCCGTGCCGGTACGCCATGGGAGGCAGGAGGGAGATGGGGGCTAATGCCGGGGGCAGGGTGAGCCCGGGATGTTCTATTTCCTCACAGAGTGCGTTGACAACGGCAGAGTCCATCTCACTCCCTATCCCCCGGAGCCGAACAAGAGAGGGTTCGTTAAGGAGAGACGAGCAGGGGAGCGACGGCTGAGGCTGCTTCAGATGCCTGTGGTACAACCGGCCTGTAGAGGTCTTCTCTGCTTTCACCTCCACGTTCCGCTTCGAGATCGAGGTCTTTTATTCCTGTCCCCTACTGCCCGTCCTTACTGCCGGCCTTGCCCAGGGCTCGGAGCTCGACGCAACGCATGGAGGAGGAGACGGCATTGCCTTTGTAATGCAGAACGAGGGACCAACAGCATTGGGAGGGAGCGGCAATGTGTGAAGCTCCTTCCCAACACTCTTGGTGTATGTGCTCATGACCGATACGTAGGATCTTGGGGTAGCAAAGAGTGACAGATACAGCTTCACTCGAGGTTGTAGACGTTTTTGTTCTCATCCCTTGCCAGTTTTTCCGTTCCTTTGTACTTCTCCCTCCCTCCCTCCCTCCCTCCCTTCCTCTCTCCCTCCCTCTCTCCCTCCCTCTCTCCCTCCCTCTCTCCCTCCCTCCCCCGTTGAGAAGAAAACCTCGTTTTACTTACTCGCACCAGTCAACAAGATACAGTTGTCTGACTTATTTCGTCTCTCCGCAGGCATACACGATGCTGCTGCATTTGAAATTCGAACTTTCGACGAGCCAGGGTCACACATGAACTTTTATCATACCTCATCCATGTTTTCCTTTTGAATTGCATTGCTCCTGTGCTATGTTTCCAAACTTTCTCATCATCAACATCATTGTTCTTCTTCTCCTCCTCCTCCTACACCAACACCACAACTCCTTCCACTGTTACCTCCTCCTACTGTTACCCTGCCTTCATCCCCCTTGCCTATCCTTCCCTCCCGTGTCGCGGACCCGCATGTCTGCCATCTCTCTACTTGAGACTAACCAGCATCCCTTCCTCACTCCTGCTTCTGCAGTCTTGTCATCAGGGCATGCGGAGCGGGGAAGGCGTACGTGAGAGACGTGGGAGCTGGTCCTGATTGTTCTGCTCGGCTGTTGACCAAGACAGCAGACGAACGTGTCCTGTGTGAAAGCAAGAACAGACTTCAACGTGCAGGAGACGTCAATTTCTACTTTCAGTACTCCTCCTCCTCCTCTAGCATTACCACCAACTCTTCTACCTCAGCCCAACGCTCTCCTCACACTACATCACCTCCCTGGCCCCTCCTCTACCTTCCATCATCTGTACCTACTCCTCCTCCCCCCCCTCTCCTCCTCCTCCTCTAGAATCGCCTTTCCCTACATCTCCGACACCACAACTTCCTCCACACCACCTTATCATCATCATCATCATCATCATCATCATCATCATCATCATCATCATCATCATCATCATCATCATCATCATCATCTCCATCATCATCATCTCCATCATCATCATCATCATCGTCATCATCATCACTC